GGGAGAGGGTGTCTGCGACTACGGGATCCCCTTTATGGTGGTGGAATAATTATCACACTCGTTGCAGGTCCAGGTGTAGACCAAACAAACTTTATGTCATACTAAAAAAGGATCCTTATCCGCCATCCGACTTTATCGACCGATTCTGCCCCACACATGATATGTTTGACCCTAGTCCATACGTAGTGAACCCCCCTGATGTAAAATCATCTCAAAACAGATCCTACGGGGATTCCCGGTCTCAATTGCCGGCGCTCCCTTGAACCCGAGTGGCTAGTGTACAAATTTGCCGCTGCGGCACCCAAACGAATTTGCAAGTCACAGGTTAAGACTTTGCAGCCTGCAAAACCAACCATGCACTTTGAATAGAGCCTCCAAAGGCGCTTGGTGTCGTTTAGTCGGGTTACACCCCTCTTTGGAAGATGCTGTTGTGGCTGGTTCAAGCTACTTGCCAGGATCCGGAAATACAAGCAAAGCAACACAAAAACGGTGGTTGCTTGACTTACTTCAGCTCTCTCCATTATAATTGGTGGCTTGGATTCGCTGCTTGAATCTTAGAGTGTCCCGTTTGCCCTCTACAAGAACCAGGGGTCACCAAGTCACCAAGTAAGGGTCACCTGACTACTTGCCTGAAGGACTTGGAAATAATAGAAATAACAAATGATCAATGAGTTTGACCTATTTGCCAGGACTTGGAAAGGACACATATCAACTTTTGGAGTCTCTGCTGATATGGGAACCCAGCAGGGGAAAACTAAAAATTTCTCATCCAGTCAGTTTGCTTCAAGCGGAAATCTTGTCTGGGGTCCTCAATGTTAAATAGCACCTGCCCAAACAAAGTGACGAATGTTTGCCCAAAAGAACGTGGGAAAATTGCGGCCCGCCCGACTTTGGCGGGAAATGTGGGTGTCCCCCCCTCTCCTCCTCCCCAAACCAGTATCAGTTCTGCAGATCCTCGGCGTGCTTAGTAGGAATCACTGTTGGATTAAAACAAAACAAGCTACACCCACCATCAACAATTTAAGAGATTGATTTTTGATTCAACCACCATTTTAACAACTAACTGTTTCCAGAAGGGGAATTTACACCAACTGAGATGGCTCATTCAACCTCGGCTTGGGGCAAGGATTGGTCCGAAGTGGTCCGGACTTTTGGTTTACAACTACAATGGTGACAACTGTTTAAGTCCAGAAAATGAGGCAGTAAGTCTCAGAAGGAAGATCCAATGTTTAGCTGAACCTGAGCACGCGGCATCTGTTGCTTTCCTCACTCGGGACCTGCGGAAGCAAGTGATTTGAAATAAAATGGCAGATGGAGGCCCAGAATCCTCCCAAACCCTAAACCCTAAGATGTAGTGACACCCTACACTCGAATTGTAGATTCCCCCTCCTCCACCTTTCTCCATCTTTCTGCAACTTCCTCCTCCTCCTGCTCTTTCTCTTCCTCCTACTTCTGGTTTTGGCTTTCTGCTTCTTGTCTTTCTTGTCTCATTCTTTTCCAGAATTGGACCTCGTTTGGGGGTTGACCTGTTTTTGCTGGGAAGACGAATTGGCGCCACTGAACAGGACTGCAAACCTGGCACCACAGAAATCCACCGGGGTTTGGCGGAGGATTACTTCAGGGATACGTCCAATCACCAGCGCAAGGAAGTCGGCCCGGCTGTATTTTTAGGGACCCTGCAGCTTACATTTCGATTCTAATGTCAGCGCTAGATTTATAAACCCCTGGTTAATGAAAAAGGGTGGGGGGGCCTAGTGCTTTTGTGGGTGACATGCAACCTGAGGAAAGGTCCCTAGACCATTTTGCCTACAGTGCCATGATACCATGAAACCAAACAATACCGAACGTCCTATGTGTGAACACCTTTCAGGCTTCTGGCTTCAGGCCTGAAGAGATCGGTCTGAGCGGCCAAAATAGGCTCTTCGTTACCCCTTGACTCTCCATAAGGTTCATTCAGGCCCTCAACAAGAATCCTGGCTCGTGCTTAGATGAAACACGAAACCATGCAACTTTGTCTTGAAGATTTAGCAAGCAGCGTATCATACTATATGTACACAGGATGAAGCACCAGCTTGATGTCACTCAGCAAATCCATCGCAGTTGAGAGGGCCTAATGCAATGGATTCTGACCTCCCTCACTTCTCCCATGTCCTCTTTGGCAAGCACATAGTTGTGAAGGTGGCTGATCTGTTTGCTCAACCAGATTCGGCACAGCCAATGCTCAGAATAAGGGAAGCCCTGCAATGTACCGCTGAGCTGAGCAAGGAGAGCGCTCGAAAGTATGTGAGCCTGGAAAATTGAGTGAGTCCCATGGCTTTGTGTGGCAGATTTGGTGAGTGCCCCACATCCCTCCAGAAATGGGTATGCGTCAAGAGCTGACAAATCCGGAAACTTTGACGAACTTCTCCAGCCTTCGCGGCCCAGCACCAGAACCGGGACGAGAAGGCACCCCTGGAAGGAGTCTCTCGCTGATCAAAATGCAAAGGGGTCACTCGAGTGCATTGGTCAGACAAACTTCCCAAAAAGTGACTGAAGTTTCGGAAGCGAGAGCCTACCCCTTTGTTTGGTTTCCTTTTGGTTTCCCTTCCAGGGTACTAAAAGAGTCTACCACGCACTGTCCCTACCCCTCCGCCGTCTTCTCCCAAAACGGGGAGGTGCATGGGAAAGGTGCCACAGGCTGATTTGCGGCCAGTGTCTTGAAAGACTTTAGCGTGCTTGTTCCTTTTGCTTGGTTACATCATGTTGTTTCACTACCGCTATGTGAACCAAGTTCTTCATGATCAGTGCCATTGTAGTAAATAATCATTATTCATTGTCGAAAAGGATTCAATCGTCACGTTAGGACCCAGTGGTGATGCTGGGGATGTTGCTGCTGCTTCATTCTTCGCTCCTGTTTTTGTTTCATTGTCCCTGCCATCAATTTATTCCACCTCCAACCTCAATTCTGGGCGAAACAGACATGGGTGGCACTGACAGAAGGCTTTCTGGACCAGAAGCTAGCCAAAGGGGAGCCACGTTTGTTTAAGCGGCGCCCACACGGGCAAAACATGCGATCCCTTGGGACAGTGAAAAAGATCCTTTACCAGGTAGTTTAGAGGGTACCCTGTACCCGGGTAGGTAAATCAGGTTGCTTTTGGATGACAGCAATCATCGTGCACGGTAAATTGATGATCCTCCATTTCCTGGACCCACACTCGCCCAAAACCCTTGGCCGCACCTGGGGTAGCACTGCGCTCTCCTGACAGGAAGGGGTGCAGATGGCGCAGATTGGATCAAGAACCTGCCATTGCGGATAGACCAGCAAGAAGGACAACGGTACGAAATCAAATAACAAAGGCACAAAAGCAACATAAGCAAACATGCAAAGAAACATGACACAAACAACTAGAACCACGGGTGGCCCGAAAGCATAACGGACAGTGAGAGTTGACTTCTTGTGTGCAATTTGCTCTGTGCACGTTGCGCTGCGCAAGCGCTCTGCGCAAGTGCGCTGCGCAAGCTCGGAACAAGTTTCTATGAGCAAGTTCTCTGCGCGCAGCGCTGACCAAAACACAGCAACCTGTCGATTTGAGCCCAACTGTCGGCCCGGACCTGCGAACTTACTTTCTTCCAGCCGGAGTCTTTAGAAAGTTTACTTCGTGCGCTACTTTCTTGATTGAGAGATTTGCCAGCCAAAGCTGCGAAAGTGTACTTCGCGTGCTACTTTCGTACTTGAAAGTTGCGATGTTCCAGCCGGAGCCGCAAAAGTGCACCCTGCGAGCTACTTTCGCGCTCCTGCCTTTCTAACTTAGAAGCTGCAGAGAGCCACCACGCTAATCCTCGCAGAGGGTCTCGCGCGCAAATTCGAATCGCACGTCGACCACGCAAACCCCCCCCCCCCCCCCAAGAGGGTGTCATTTTCGCGGAGTGGGTTCGGTTGCAGGGCGCCGCCGTAAGAGACTAATTTTACTTTCGTGTCCACGCGAGCGAGTTGGCTCGTGCAAGTTTGGCTGCGAGCTTTCTCGTGCAAGTTGGCTCGTGCAAGTTTGGCTGCGCGATCTTTCTCGTGCAAGTTGGCTCGTGCAAGTTTGGCGGTGCGATTTCTCGTGCAAGTTGGCTGTTGGCTCGTGCAATTTTGGCTGTGCGATAAGGCTGGCGGTTTTACCCTTCGCAATGCTTTCGGGACAAATAGGAGCGATCCACGCAACATACCAAACTACGCACACGCGCGCAAACATACAAATACAACCACGCAAATACAAACGCAAAGCACATAAACAACCACTCGCACAGACAACAAGGCAGCCTGCCAAGCAAGCAAGCAAGCAAGCAAGCAAGCAAGGAAGGAGGCAACCAAGAAAATGTACTAGCAAAGCACAAAAAACAACCATAGAAACAACACACAAACAGACAAACAGACAGACAAACAAACGAAGAACAAAAAACATCAATGAACACAAGCAAACAAAAAACAAAACAAAACAAAGAAGCACAACCAAACAAACAGGTCACACCGCCACGAGTCGCCTGGCGCGAAACAAGCCTCCTGTTTTCACACTTCACTGCGCTGGCCAACGAAATCAGCAAAAGGTTGCAACAAAAACTAGTTAATGAGCATTTCAAGAAACTAATTCGCTTTAGATAGTTTTGTGCCCCGGCAGCTAAAAGGTCAACATCAATGAGCGAAGGTTCACGTCAAGGTGTTGACAACATCCGGTTCAGTTCCAAGCGTGTGTTGCGACAACATCCTGTTCAGTTTCAAAATTGGGTTGTGAGAACATCGCGTGTGTTCTCAGTTGTGCCAGCATGTGTGCAGCGGTCGTGGATGCGCTTGGGCGTATGTGTTAACACGTGCGCCAGCATGCGTGCAGCGGTCATATTACAGCTTGTGCCAGCATGCGTGCAGCGTTCGTGGAGGCGCGTGGGCGTGTGTACTCACATTTGTGCCAGCATGCATGCAGCGGTCGTGCTTGGGCGTGGGTATTAGCATTTGTGCCAGCATGCATGCAGCGGTCGTGGATGCGCGTGGGCGTGTGTATAAACAGTTGTGCCAGCATGCAACGGTGGTGGGCGTGTGTGTGTGTGTGTGTTCACATTTGTGCCAGCATGCATGCAGCAGTCGTGGATGCGCATGGGCGGGTGTGCTAGATGAAAAAACAGGAAAAAGGGTGAACAAAGAAGCATGTGTTAGCAAACGTGAAACATGATAAAAAAAAAACGCACGAAACCATCAGGTTCCCGACGTCGGTGCCAGCAACAAAAAACCACACAAGCAAGCAAATGAACAAGCAAACAAACAAACAAACAAACAAAACAAGACACACAAGCAAGAAAGAAAGAAAGAAAGAAAGAAAGAAAGAAAGAAAGACAGAAATAGAGAAAGAAAGCAAGCAAGCAAGCAAGGAGCAAAGAGGGTCCAAAATGGAAGGCACCTCTTCGTGTCTTGCGGCACCCAAGACTTTCAGCCAGCACAGCACAGCTTTAACATTTTCATCCTTTCGGAGTTTTTGAAGTCAACACTTGCAGATTTAAAGATTCAGAACTTAGGATTTTAAGCCACTAAGATTTGCAGACTTCAAGCCGCTAAGATTCTATTATCCAAAGAAAATATACAAATGGCCTCAAAACCCTTAATTGCCTCGACTCGTTGTCTCGTTCTCCTCGCGGAGGCTGTGCTTGCATGGCGTAGCAAAGGATGAGCTGCCTTTCTTGGATGGAGGGGTACAAGAAAGACGGGACCTCACATGGCCATTTTGCCAACCTCTAGATAACCAATCAGTTTTCTAGCCGAACTGCAGGAAATGGGTTCGACTTCTCAGGGGGCTATAACTTCAGACAGAAGTGCAGGATTTGTGTATATTTGTGCTTGTTAAAGCCTTAAACAATTTAAATATCCTATAGTAACACAGTCTCTTTATCCAAGCCGAAAGCAGCAGAAACTTCTGTGGGTCTTAGGCAACCAAAAGCTCTGCCGCAAACTACAAAGCATATTTTTACTTCACGCACAAGTGGCTAGTCTTGTGTTTGTTTTCTTGAGGTGTCCGAAAATTGACAGGCGTCAGTCTCCCTTCAACTCGGAGCTTCTCAGAGGCTTTTCAAAGTTGCTTTAAGAGGTGAAAAACTTTGAAGAAGGCCTTAATACGACTTGAAAAAGACTTTTTACTCAGGGTCTATTGGTCAACCAAGCATGAGCCAATGTTCTGCCATCGTTCCGGATCATGCCGAGAGTCACGCGATGAACCTTGATGAAGAGCCCGGTTCCGCCGATCATCTCCATGACGTCAGGTGGAAGATGAAGCGACACCACCTGAATTGCCCTGTGAGCCAACTCACGGGCTCTGCGACCAAGTTGAAACCAGACCGCCCAGGACGTGCATCAAGTAGAGCAGGTCAACGAAAGCGAATCCTTTTGCCATTGCACCGCGCGTCATCAGAAAGGTGGCCCTATGGGCAGTCCAAATTTAATTGTGGGCTCTGCGCCTGCAGGCTCTAGTCAGCCCAAAGTGCTGGGCCCTGTGGCGCGTCCACCGCGGTGCTCGGGCTATGCCAGCGAAAAACAGGCATGAGCGAAGGATATTTTCATCACGCCCTGAACCCAATCCAACGCTTGAGAAAGGCGTAAAAAGGTTCCTGCCATTTGGCCACGGCTGATCGAGCCCTGCCAGAATTTGTCATGACAAGCACATGTGCTCTGCAGGTCTGACACCAGCTTGAACGCTTTGTCAGCAACACGCAAGACAGCAGAACTTGTTTTTGTCCTCACGCTGCACCAGCGCAAGCCGCTGCAGCACATGAGCTACTTGAGGACTCGCTCCCCCGCGTTGGCCACGTGCCACAAACGGAGTCCGTGATACTGTCATGACCTAGCTGCTCAAGCTTCACCGCATATGACACGCACGGCCTCACCCCACTACTTATACAGACCAGTTTAGTGCATATTTCGTATTGCTCTAAAAGCATTGGTCTGCTGTGTGCAAAAGGATGTGAGAGTTGCTTAAGTTGTCCAGTGGGGCGAAATATGCTTTTACCCCGCGGCACAAGAAACATTAATGCGTGTGTGTGTGTGTGTGTGTGCGCGTGTGCGTGTGCGTGTGCGTGTGCGTGTGCGTGTGCGTGTGCGTGTGCGTGTGCGCGTGCGTGTGTGCGTGTGTGCGTGTGTGCGTGTGTGCGTGTGTGCGTGTGTGCGTGTGTGCGTGTGTGCGTGTGTGCGTGTGTGCGTGTGTGCGTGTGTGCGTGTGTGCGTGTGTGCGTGTGTGCGTGTGTGCGTGTGTGCGTGTGTGCGTGTGTGCGTGTGTGCGTTTGTGCGTTTGTGCGTTTGTGCGTTTGTGGTTTGTGCGTTTGTGCGTTTGTGTGTTTGTGTGTTTGTGTGTTTGTGTGTTTGTGTGTTTGTGTGTTTGTGTGTTTGTGTGTTTGTGTGTGTTTGTGTGTGTGTGTGTGTTTGTGTGTGTGTGTTTGTGTGTGTGTGTGTGTTTGTGTGTGTGTCTTGTGTGTGTGTCTTGTGTGTGTGTGTCTTGTGTCTTGTGTGTGTGTCTTGTGTGTGTGTGTCTTGTGTTGTGTGTGTGTGTGTGTGTGTGTGTGTGTGTGTGTGTGTGTGTGTGTGTGTGTGTGTGTGTGTGTGTGTGTGTGTGTGTGTGTGTGTGTGTGTGTGAGTGGGTGTGTGTGTGTGTGTGTGTGTGTGTGTGTGTGTGTGTGTGTGTGTGTGTGTGTGTGTGTGTGTGTGTGTGTGTGTGTTGTGTGTGTGTGTGTTGTGTGTGTGTGTGGTGTGTGTGTGTGTGGTGTGTGTGTGTGTGTGTGTGTGTGTGTGTGTGTGTGTGTGTGTGTGTGTGTGTGTGTGTGTGTGTGTGTGTGTGTGTGTGTGTGTGTGTTTGTTTGTTTGTTTGTTTGTTTGTTTGTTTGTTTGTTTGTTAGCTTGCCTCTTTGTTGGATTGTTTGTGTTGATTTTGTTTATTTGTGTTGTTTGTTTGTTTTGTGGGTTTGTTTTGATTGGCTGTGTGTTTGTTTGTTTTGTTTGTTTGTTTGTCTGGTTGTTTGGTTTGTGTTTGTTGCTTGGTTGGTCGGTTGGCTAGTTGGTCGGTGGATTGGCGGGTTGGTGGGTTGGTGTGGGCGGGCGGTTGGGCGGGAGTGGGTGGGTGGGTGGGTGGGTGGGTGGGTGGGTGGGTGGGTGGGTGGGTGGGTGAGTGGGTGGGTTGGGTGGTTGGTTGTGCGAAAGTACACCATGCATTCTTACTTGGATGTAATTCATGCTGATTACCATTGCAT